AAGTCGAACGAGCAAAGTGACCTTTTCAATAGGTTTCATCCGAGAAAAAAAACATGCAACATGAAAAATATTATTATTACAGGTAACGGATTAACGAAGACGTACGGTAAATATTAAAAATTATATAATAATATAGTCTGCGAGAAAACGGTATGTCATATCAATATTTGAGAAGTACAAAGATTTCAGAAAGGGATGAAATAATATTCCTTATTACTCCTGTAATTGTATCGTAGTTAAACAAATAAAAATCCTGGTAGAAGTAGTGTGCAGTTTTCCTAGGTACGTATTTAGTTACTGTCTAATATTACTGTATTTCTCATTAGTTGTAACAGTATTGCGTAAAAATTAGACAAGAATTTAGAGTTTTATTCAATGAATGAAACAGTTTTCTTAGAAAAGATATGAATTTTCATGGACAACTGCTTAACTATTGTCTAGTATTAATAGATTATTATTAATTAATATTACGTAATCGATTTATTGTTCAGATTCAGTAAATGAGTTCAAATTTTATGCAACTTGTGCGCACTAACCGCAAATAAAGCATTATATATCTTGATTGAGCACCTAAGTTACTTCTCAATCATTAAACAGAGTTAATATATAATTGTTCAGTAACTGCTCAGAAAATGCAATAAAATTTCAAAACCAGAGATATCTAAAAATTATTACTGCGCTCGATTTATTCTAAAATAAGAATAAACATAATCTCTCTGTATAGTAAGAAATATAAGAAAGAAAGGAACTAGAAAGAGAATTTAAAGGAGCTATCCCTTTTCTGTACAAACAACAAAAAAAAAAATAATTTCAATAATTTTAAATTAAATATTATTGTAAAATATTTTTCAAAAAATTATTTTCAAAAAAATTACCAAAAAGAATTTGATTAAAAGAAATATCACAGAAAGAAAGTAAGCAGAAATATCAAGTTTCAGAAACACTTCGTACGTATTTAAAAAATAATGCTCTTTAATTTTGCAAGCAAGGGTTTATATATTATTGCAAAGCAGTTCTGTAAAATAAGCATTCCGCAAAATAAGAAAACACTTTCCCCAAAGAGAAATCATGTGAAAGGTAGCTATAATTTTGAAATAGTATCATATTTCTATCAGACTCATGTATAAAAAAGTTTGCGAGATAAAGGACAATATGAATAATACAAAGGCAATTTCCGGGAGAGGAGATATCACGTGCGTGCAAGCGTAAATAATCGCTCAGGGCAGAAATCGAATTTTCTGCGGGAACATGGGACGATTTAGTAGCGTGTATAATCAAAGGACTGACGACCGAGGCAAATTAATCAGCAATTGTGCAACCTTGTGTAAACGTGAGCTAAAAGATTTTTAATTTACTGATTTGTTTAACGCATTTAACATAGATCACATATGAAATGTGAATAACGTAAAAATATTAACGATTAAGAATATTCCTTCGTAGATATTATAGTAGAATCATATTTATCATAACCTAGTAAACTACGTTCCATCTTCCTAAATTAAAAAAACTGTGATATTTTAATAATTAAATATCTGTACGAAGATTAAAACTCGTCTTCCATATTTCAAGTAAAATATTCAGAGAGCAAAATAATTAAATAAATATACAGCAAAATAAATCTGTCGTCTAAATAATCATTCTCTGACTTGAAGTTATATGAACTAATGCAAATACTAAAAAATTTTCTTCAAGAGTCGCTACTTTCGCATTTTCAGTTTCGCTCTGACAAATTTCCAGAAATGCACCGTGTCGAAAAGTCTACTCATGTGAGAGTACTTCTCTGATTTAGACAAATAAGAGTACATCTTACAAGCGAGGCAAAGAGTAACAGTCACATGCGACATGTTCAAAATATTTCGTTCGTAAATTTATTGTACGTTTTTTTTCTTTGCCCAACATAACATATGTTCATTTGCTCTTACGCCATCGAGCTTCTTATAAGCATCCTATAAAGAATTTTGCTTTTACGGAATGAGAGATACGCCCGTTATGTGAAGTGCCTCAACTTGTGGCGCACGAGGAAAGTGGCGAAAAAGTAAAAAGATATATAAAATGGTGATATAAATATATACACAGAAAAAAATGTTTGATTGAATTATGGTAGAAAATGAACGAAATCCAGAATTTTAGTTAAATGTATAAGATTTCTGATTAAATTTATTAAAATTTTAGTTAAAATAATCAACATTCAGTAGAGTATTTAATCAAAAATCTAGTAGACCAGAAGTCTGGATCGTTCATTTTCCATTAGAATTCCGATTAATTCAACCAAATATTTTAATTCGTATACAAAAATAACGATAAGGTCTATATAATAAGTTGTTTCCATTGAAGAAAGAAATAATTTATATTATGTTACGCGCGAGTGTGGAAGTGAATTTCCAAGATGCAATGCGCTATGAATTCTCTCTGTGTGAACTATGGAGCATAACAAAGCACGACCTACTACAAAAGAAATTATTTGTCGATTTGCATACTCATTTTCAGACTGTTTCAAGTTAACAATAAAATTCTCAAGCTAGAATGTTAGAGAAGTATTGCTCCTACATTAAGCTCAATTTCAATGAATCTCAAATGTGTAAAAATTCTGATGATGTTTGGCTGTTGACGAATATAAAACGCAATCTTCAAGTAACGTTAAAAATTATATTCATTCAAAATTTAAAAGACATTTTTAGAAATCTTTAAGAGGATTTTCAAGAAATAAATCACAATATCACAATAACAATCTAAAAAATGAATAAAAATTATAAACAATTGATAATAGATGCAATGATTAATCACAATAATATTTAATTATACTATTCTGTGAACGCATTCCCAAATCTCCTGCTGGCAAAGTACTGCTGTTATTTAATTCAATATGCATCTGCTTTGCAGTCGTTCTAGGAAATCAATTTCGCAGTAGAGACGAATGATTGAATATGAGCAGACATACATATATCGAAATATATGGGATGCAGATTTCATGTTGCAATCAATATCACGCGCACTTTTAACTTTTTAAAATTAATTTAAAGTCAAGAAGAGAGAGAGAGAGAGAAAGAGAGAGAGAGATCGTCATTTATTGAGCGCTCTGAGAATTAAATAACAATAAATAAAGAGCAAAATAAGAATCAAACAACACATTTTAAATTGTAACACAATTAAATAGAATAAATTGCAAATAAAGAAAAATAAAAATAAAGAAAACAGTTTAAATTCAAATATAAAACATTATAAGTTTCAGCACCGGATTGAGCCCTCTTCAGACATTTACTTATCCTCGAGTGAGGATTCATCCATTCGTGTTAATCCATATCAGCGAGCACTTTATAATCGACACACTATGTCCGTCTTACATAACTGCGTTCCATTAAACTGTATACATTTTAATTGGTTTCTACATATGGACTTATATGGACGTACTTATTTGAATAATTTATACATGGCTTTTGATTTTTTTTCCAAGAGATATGAAACATTTGACTGTCCAATCGTATGCGAATGTCGAGTACATCAAGACTCACTCGAGCTGTTATTATAAGGAATATGCAGGCATTTTCGATAACTAATTTTGTAGCGATCCTTGTGATAAATAAATGTCTGAAGAGAGCTCAATCAGCCGGTAGCTGAAACTTGTAATATTTTATATTTGAATTTAAACTGTTTTCTTTATTTTTATTTTTCTTTATTTGCAATTTATTCTATTTAATTGTATTACAATTTAAAATGTGTTTGATTCTTACTTTGCCCTTTATTTATTGTTATTTATTTTGTATATGAAGAGTCCTTCTATCTGTTAAATGCTCTAGAATTAAGTTCTTTCAAGACCATACATTTATACAACAATAACAAACAGTAGAAAACCATACATTAATAATAGTAAAAATAAAAAAAAACTAAAAACAAAATTAAAAATGAAATTGAAAGAGAGAGAGAGAGAGAGAGAGAGAGAGAGAGAGAGAGAAACGCCAAAATATGCACTTTAAATATATACGAATATACAAG